CACAGGTTTTATATAATATATGTTTCAAAACTTTACTCAAACTTCAATCTAAATTATCTTGAAAACCAATTGATCAAATTTGATAAAAAAATTTTTATTTGAATTCTACAAATCTATAAAATTTAAATAAATAATTTTGATTAAATTTGATTAATTGATTGCTGAGATATCTTTGATTAAAGTTTTGTAAACAATTTTAGTACAGTTTTTATATGATATATAGTTTAAAATTTTACTCAAAACTTAATCGAAGTTATCTCAGAAACCAATTAATCAAATTTTATAAAATTTTTTATTTGAATTCTCAAATCCATAGAATTCAAATAAAAAAAAATTTATTGAATTTGATCAATTGGTTGCTGAAATATTTTTGATCAAAGTTTAAAAAGTTTGTAAATAATTATGTGATAAAGTAAAAGAATTTATATAAACCATGGTGTGAATTGTAAAAATCCATAATATAAATAGTAGTTCCCTATTAAATATTATAAATAATTTGCTACAAATTGATAATAAATATGTAGAATTAAGATTTTTTTTTTTTAATATTCAAATAACCACTTAGACTCTTGGCATCTTATTAGTACTGGCAGATATTGCTGATTCAAAGACTATATGTAATATGTTACAGTAGTATAACGAGAGTACAACTAGCTATACATACAACTTTTGGTTGTCTAATTTAAGTAGTTTGCTCTAAGGTTCTACACTAGCTACTATATCTTTAATCTAACTAAAAAGCTATCTATTTAAACTCTTTGGCTTTAACCCCTGTACTATGTTTTTTCTAATATATTTTTTTGGAATAATTTGTCATGAAAGACCCTAAGACTTTAGCCACCAGATAATCTAGTTTTCTAGAGTGGCATTTATTCTTGTAATAAACCCAACAGAGCAGTAAATATCACATACATGTATTTATCTATATGTTTGGTAACTTTTTCTAATTAATACCTGTTGTGCTGCCACTATTGAGTTTATGTCTCAAGCTATCTTTTTGATATTGCTATAATACAATCCAAATCTCAAGCTAAAACTTTTCTAATCGGTTCTTATTATATACTCTCTACTCTTGCAAGGTTTAAAATAACCCCAGTACCCACATTCTAACTTCTTTCTTTTCTAGATTCCTTATCAGTCCCTTCCTTACTTCTAGCTAGTAACTCAAAAGGGTCAGTCTGTTCAGGCTTTAAATGTCTTATAGTCTCTCTTCTCTTGATATATGCTTCTGGAGTATAAGATCCTTTTCTCTGGTGGCAAGCTGGTAGTTTAGCTAGTGTGTCTCCTTACTTAAGGACCTGATCACTCAGTTCTCCAATCTCAGTTTCCAGTTCCAAATTTCATCTTTCTGTAGCACCGTTAAAGATTACTGCTACTTCCAACTTGAAACTTCCCAAATAGGTTTTGATCATTGCAGTTTCTTGGCCTTTTATGTACCAAAGTTCCTATGTGAACATAGTGTTACCAAGATTATAGATTCTGGAACCCAACTAATTGACTACAATCATTACCATGATGCAAGCTATTTTTGAAAATATTATTTATGGGACTTGAACTCTAAACCTGCCATCTGGGTGTGTGACAACTCTACCACTTCACTAAATTGCCACACTCTTGTGTAATTAAGATTTTAATTACTTTATAAGAATTAGTTAATATAAAAAAATATAATAGAAATATTGCTTCTAGAGTTTCTTAATTCAATAGTACTAATATTAATATTATCTGTTACAATATTTTTAGAAATCCTTTAATAAATTAAAAAATAATATTGACAAAGTTGATTTCTATATTTTATTATTTAAGAGAAGTTAATATTTAAATCTTATTAATTTTTAAAATAGATCAAAAATTTATAGTTTAACCAAAGATTCAGCTATAATATCAACTAAAATAAATTTTTAATTTAAATTTTTTTACACAATAGCTATCTACCAATAATTTGTTATCTAATATTATATTCTTTTTGCTTTAATCATTATAGTAAACTAAACATTTTGCTAAATTCATATTTGTTTCTTATTATCAGACAATAAAAGCTAATAATTTAAATATATTATCACAATATCATTACTATTATTATTACATATTTACTTATCCAACACATCAATTAAAAATTAAAGTATATATATACAATTAATTTGATAATTCTTCTAAGCAATTCAGGTAATACATGCAAATAAAATATGTCAAAAACTTTTTTTATGTAAAATATTAAATAGTTTTGTAGCTTTGTAATAGTGGTAATTAGAGATGTTAAACTGGTTCAAACAGTTTAATATTTCTAGTAGTAACAAAGAATCAATTCGTATCAAGGCCTTGGATAAAAAAAAAATTTGATTTATATATCTAAAAAAATATTTGATTAAAAAAGTTGTATAATCATATATAATTTTAATTTATATAGTATATTGAACGGCCTAACATAAGTAATTTAGCAAAATGTTCGAAATTAATAAAATACTACAAGTAAAAAAAATTGGGCGCAACTTCTTTTTTAAAAACATCTATCTAAACTTTGAACCAAGATTACTTAGCACTTACCTGGTCAAATTCGATCAAATTTTTTTTTTATATAATTCTATAAGCTTTTAGAATTAAAATAAAAAAATTTTGATCGAATTTGACCGGGTAAGTGCCGAGTAATCTTCATTCAATGTTTAAATGTCTTTAAAAAAGAAGCTGCGCCCAAAATTTTTTTTTACTTTGAACGAAGATTACTCGGCACTTACATGGTTAAATTTGTTCAAATTTTGTTTTATTTTAATTCTATAAGCTTATAGAATTAAATAAAACCAATTTGATCAGATAAGTGCCAAGTAATCTTCGTTCAAAGGTTAGATGTCTTTAAAAAAAAGCTGCGCCCAAATTTTTTTACTTTGAACGAAGATTACTCGGCACTTACCTGGTCAAATTCGATCAAATTTTTTTTATTTAATTCTATAAGTTTATAGAATTAAATAAAAAACAAATTTATTAAATTTGACAGATAAGTGCCGAATAATCTTTGTTCAATGTAAAAAAATTTGGGCGCAGCTTTTTTTAAAGATATCTAAACTTTGAACGAAGATTACTTGGCACTTACCTGGTCAAATTCGATCAATTTGTTTTTATTTAATTCTATAAGCTTATAGAATTAAAATAAAAAAATTTTGATCGAAGTTAACCAGGTAAGTGCCGAGTAATCTTTGTTCAAAGTAAAAAAAAAATTTGGGCGCAGCTTCTTTTTAAAGATATCTAAACATTGAATAAAGATTACTCAACACTTACCAGATCAAATTCGATCAATTTTTTTTTATTTTAATTCTATAAGCTTATAAAATAAATAAAAACAAAATGATCGAATTTGACCATGTAAGTGCTAAGTAATCTTTGTTCAAAGTTTAGACGTCTTTAAAAAAGAAGCTGCGCCCAATTTTTTTTTAACTTGTAATGAATATTTTTCAACAACCTGCTATTCAAATTTGATAAAAATTTTTTTATTTCAATTCTATAAATCCAAAGAATCAAAATAATTTTTTTTTATCAAATTTGAACAGTTGGTTGTCAAAAAATCTTTGTTTAAGTTTCAAAGAAAAAAATTTACCCAATTTTTTTTGAAACACTGAACCAAATTCAATGAACTTTTTTTTATTTTAATTCCACGAAACTCTGGAATTAAAATAAAAAAAAATTTTATGAATTTGGTCAACTAGTTATGAAGAAATCATCGCTAAAAGTTTTAAAAAACTTTGAATTTATTAATAGGATCTGCGCCACAGAATCTGTGATATACAAATTTGTCCAATCAAAAATAGGGAGTCGCCGCCCAATCAGAAAGTGGGGTAAATTAGCCATATGTTAGATTATATTAAAGTAACCAATCAGATTCGATGCATTACAACGCTTAGTACATAGTACTAAGAGTGATGCCGAAAAATTCCGAAAATCAACGAATATAAAATACGAACAAGGTTGCGACAAAAATTTGATGAAACCTCTGAATATTAATCGACTTTGATTTAACCGGCTAAGCCGAATTTTAAATATCGACTTATTCAAGTCGATAAATATAACGATAACCACATTAATTGATAATAAATCGAGTTCGCCTTATAATAATAAAAAATGTTAATATATAAAAAACAAGTTTAGTTTACACACTATACATTATATAACAATCGATACTGAATCTCTATTCATGTTGACAGTGTTATTAATGAGGGTACTATGCCTGTGGAAATTTATACTATAGTTTAATCTGATATTAAAAAATTACTGAAGAATATGTAAATAAAATTACGCATTAACAAAATTATGCGACTATATACAAAAAAACTTTATACTAATAACATTATTGTCTTGAAGTGTCTAAACATCTGTTGCTAATCCATGCAGACTTCAATAGACTTTGAGATGTTTAGATTTGGCAAACGGCATGATAATAATCTAGTATAGTTTACAACTAATGAAAAAATTTTGGGGGAAAATTGGAGTCAATTGGAAAGTTAGAATTTGAGTTAATAGATTCTTTTAAAGCATTGAATTTTTTTTACTATCATGAAATATTTTAAGAAATCCGTATAAATAATTCAACCGATTTTTATAAACTTTTATGTAAAATTATATTTTGAACAACAATGCGATAATTTTGAAGAGTACTCTGAAGAATCAAAACAGTCTTCAACAATTGCGAATGAATCGTTAATAATGACTCTAACCAAAATATTTTCAAACGAATTTAAGATTATATAAATCAAATAAATTACAGCTATCCAATTTTTATTAATACAAGTACATTATAATAATTGATTCTCTATAAATATAATAAATTATAATATAATTATGTAACGTCATCAATAACTTTCAATAACAAAAATGTTTGAATTTTTTTTTCTAAATATTAATAAAGATACGTACGAATATTGATTACGTGAATGTTTTGAATGAACAAAACAAACAACAAAAAAACGTGCACGTTTAATATTTTTAATAAAATCTATATAATAGTAAGTGCATCTTTATTCTTTATCCTTTCTGATATATAAACGTGAAGTAATTATATTCCATTGTTCTTGAAGATAGTTCCAAATATTAAATAAAGCCTTTACTGATCTTGAAGAATGTGGTAATTTAGATTCCATGACTTGAACCTTTAATATAAACAATTTAAAAAAAATAATTTAAAAAATCGAAATCAAATAGAATTTAACGAAATTAGAATAATTAATCGTTAATTAAAAAACAAACCTTAAAACAAAATTGTTCAATAAATTCATCAATTTCTTTTAATTTATCTTCCAATAAAATCAATTCATAATTTAGTTTTCCTTTAGCAGTTGCATCACTATAAATTTGCTTTATTGATTCGGTTACTTTTTTTTGTTTAGATAGTATTTTCGAACTAAATTCTTCCGTTGACTATGAGAAATAAATGAAAAAAAGGATGATATATATTAAGATAATACAGTATGAAAACATTGCTGAAATATTAATTAATTTGTTTTTTTTTTTACCTTGAATTTTTGATATCTTTCTTCATAAGCATTTGATAATTGCTTAATTTGGTCATCATATTTTTTAGCGGTTGACTATAAATTGATTAAAATAAATTATTTAAGCTAAAATTAGAAATTGCTAACACGTAAATGGACTATTGAATCAATATATAATACTTTTAAATGTTTTATTAATTCTTCTAATGTTGCCTCCCGTCCTTTAAGATTTTTATAGATCATATATGTTTGAATATCAACCTCAAATGTTCGACTATAATTTATAATTTAAAGGAATATTTAAGTAAGAAAATATTTATTCAACATTTTGATTTTTTAATCTAATTACGTACCTATGTAATGAACGAGCACCTTGCTTTCGAGCCAATCCAGCATTTGTAAAAGATTTTGATCTCTTATGATGATATATCGGTAATTCTCGTGATTTAATGTCATTGTAGTCATTAAAAGAATATCTCCTTCGTGGATACCATGAATTTTCAGTATCGCTATCGTAGGATGATCCATCATCGGAGGAACTTGAATCTATTACCTGTTGATCAGTCGTACTTGAGAAATATTCAGAATTATTATGGAGATCTGTTACATCTACATATGAAAAAAAATAATAAGAAATTTGTGTAAAATTAAATAAATTCAATTATTTTTTATTATTCTATTATTAATTTGAAAAAATTTTTCACCTAAAGGAGATTCTAGATGTGGTGCGCTTGTTCGTGCAGCCAATTTTGATTTATCATACGATTCAGGATCGCTAAACAGAAGGTCTTATTACTATTTAAAGAATATAATATATATTTAATCAAGCAAAGGTAAAATAAAATACTTTGATAACGGTGGTGCAAGTAACATAGAAGAATCCAGAGGATATGTATATGATTTTGAAGAGCCAGCAACTAATTTATCTTTTTCTCTTGAGATCCCACCCCGTTCTACCAAATTTGATAAAGATCTAAAAAAATCACAAATGAAAGTTTATAAAATTTATAAAATTTATAAAAATTATAGATGATCATAAAAAATAGACAAATTTACATAACTAGAAAACATACTCTGTAACCCCTTCTTTAAGCCCTCGAACACCTTCTCTTATAACTTCACCAGTTTTTGCCTAAATATCGAAAATTAAATTATTTTTATAAAATTCCGATATTGTAACGAATAATATATATATATATATAGGCATACCGTTCTTCCAGAAACACCACGAAGAAAGCTCTTTCCTAATTCTTTTCCACCATGAAATAAATCCATTTCTCCAGATTCATCTTTACCCTTCCACAACCATTTTGAACCTTCGTAATGAAAGTTTTTCCAAAATTCTTCTAAATTATAAGACTCAATCTCGATCGAAGTATTCAAATGACCTTTAATAATAATAATAACAATATTAAAAAAAAAATCACTAAAATAATAAACAAATATTTTTAAAAAATTTTTATTTAGTCATACTTGATATACTTGATATTCCAGGTAAATTTTTTTCAAATTGGTTTATGACCTAATAAAGTATAAAAGTAGTGAATAAACATGTATAATTAATGCGTAAAAAAAAGTTGTCAGACATTTGATGAATGATACTTATTAAATATCATACCATGCTAAAATAGATGAGATATATTCCTGCCAAATCAACATACCTTGCGCATTTTTAATCCATCATGGTATCTTGAACGATTATAAGTTTGATCAATTTTATTAACAATTTCGGAATCTAACTTATGAGATATCGAATCTCTTTTTGTCGATTTCTAAATTTCAAATAATTCAAATGTTAAAAATTTCAAATGTTAACATCGTAATAAAAAGAAAAAAAAAAAGGATATTAAATCATATCGGTAATAGTCTCGAACTTCTACCTGAAAAGAAATAACACCATTTATAAATGTTTCAGTATCCATGAATGGATTTTTTCCAACCTATATAAAAAGCAGTGATATTTTAATGTTGAAAAATCTTAAATATTTAAAAAGTGCTTTTGAATAAATGAACGTTAAACTTAACCTGATAATTCAAGTAATGAAGTTTATTTCGAATGTTTAAAACCATTTTAAAAATCATAGCAACCAGATTTGGATCAAAGATATTATCTTGATTCTAAATTTGAAATTATAAACTTATAAATTATTTTTTTAATAATATAGAAACTGGTTTAGTAAATAATTTTTTGACATACCTCGAAATTAGGAGCAAGTTCATTTTTAAACTCTCTGAGACAAGATTCAGTAAAATTGCATAATAACCCGTCAATAAATTGTTGTGGAAAATCAAAAATTAAGTATAAAGCTGTTTGAACAAATTTCACTAGTTGAATCACAGCGAATTCAAGTGGTATTTTCTCTGGTACAGAATATAGTTGAAAGAATTTTTGCTTTTGTAATTCACTAAATAAAAAAAATTTTCAATAACAAAAGTTAATGACTAACATTCATCAAAAACAAAAAGTAAAATAAATAAATAAAAACATACGTTGGGGGTTTTAAAGACAAGGCAGTTTTACCGCTGCAACTAATTCTACGCAAATTTAAATTGAGGCGGAATTGTGTATAATATACATTATAATCACCCTCAGTCACCAAAATAGTACTTAATGATGAAGGAAATGAGCTTAAATTTGTCACAAATATTGTTCCTAATGTTGTCTATATGAAAAGATAATATTAATACTAAATATACAGAATTATAGCATAATTAACTTGTTCTTGCGTAGAGATTGTACCCGTCAAGAAAATCTCTACCCGGGTAATTTAGTGTAGCCATATAATAAATGTCACCCGGGTACAATCCCTATTCTTGCGCATCTGACTTACATCTTTTAACCGAGTTTTGTCTTCTTCCAAATCCGAAAACAAAATTTCAAGTTTTTCAGGATATTTTTCAGGATGTGGTTTAAATTTTTCTTCATTGATTGATATAACACATACTTTAATCTAGAAATAAAAATAAATACAATTTAAAATTTAAAAACTCGACAATTTTTTAATTTTTATAATTAGTTAAATTAACCTTATGAGTAGGATCACCTGTAAAAACCGTAACTGTATTATACGGTCTTCGATCACAAGCCCTAGTACATAAAAAAAAAGGCAATTTTAATATATACAATTTTTATGTACCTATTATTGAAAACGGAAAAAAAAAAATTTACCATTGCTCGACTATGTAAAGTTGATATCCTTCTAGTATTTCTTCATTAGTAATAACTTCTGCACCACATTTTTGTGCTAGGGTTATAATGTTTTCTCGTTCGGAAAATACAAATTTACCATATCTGTTGAAAACCATTATGTTAAAAAAATTCGAAAAAAGATGACGGACAACTGCATGTTTATATATTGTACATGATGTCACAGAACTTTTTAGATTTCCTGTTTTAGAAATTCTACATTTACTACGCGTATCACGAGATATGATTGGATTATTTTCTAGTTCTGTAGTTACGTAAACAATTATTTGACCAATTATTATCACCCTTTACTATTTTTTGAGTAGGGATTAGTAATTCTAATTTTTTTAATTATATTGTTTCTATTGTCATAAATTATTGAGGAAGAAGAAATTTTGGGCCTCTAACTTAATGCTGAACGTCGAAATCGCAACGGAATTATAAATTACTTGAAAGTTGAATGAATTCAATTTTAATACAATAAACTTGAAAGATAAGTGACTTCAATTTATAATATATAGATATAGAATTAATCAACAAATTATAATCGAAATTACAGTTCTTACTAAACTTGTTTACTGTATTAAAGAATAACCGAAACTCAATAATAACTTTTTTTTTAAATCAAACTTTCTGAATAAGTCGAATTCAAAGTAATTCAAAATTCTTGAGATTTTAGAAATGACATATTTGTACCAAATTGATGTAAGTCAAGTATTCTTGAAATTACTTACAGTGCGATTAAAACTTTAATGGCATTCTCAAACCCTTAATCAATGGATCGAAATGTGTTCTAAATCAAGCTTTAATTAATGAAAATATAATAATAGATCAAACGCGTTAAGGTATAAAATAATAATATAATTTATTACATTAAATAAAAAAAAAAAAAACATTTTTTTGATTGGGAATTTATCATTACGGTTAATAAAGTTTTTACGTCAAGCAATTGTATATTAAATTGGTAAATACGTAAATAAAGAATAGTGAAGCCAGTTGATATTTTTATACTTGCAAGTCCTGATGACACTTAATAAACCACATAGAATTATAAAAGCTACTTATATATGAGTAACAGAAAAAGAAATCTTTGAATCAATTCATTATTTTCTTCTTATCGGATTCGACCTCTAAAAGAATCTACAGTATTTCATTTTAATTATGTCGTTTGCAACGTCATTTTCTTTTAGTAATCTAATAACTAATCAATGCTTGTTATTGAAGCAGCTAAAATGATTAGCTGTATATTTGTTTGACTACGTTCATTTAGAGCTCCTATCCATTATCCGTTTATCCATTTATCTATCGGATATCCAGATCTGAATTTATTCGGATATCCGTTTTACTATTGATATCCGGATAATTATCCGAATATTTGTCGGATTATCCGGATACCAATAGTAAATGGATATCCGGATAAATTCAGATATGGATAAATGGATGACGGATTTATCCGGATTGGACCTCTACGTTCATTAATTGCAGAACAAATTTTACGAGGTCAAGTCTGATAAGGTAAATGAATGTTGGTTAGTTAATTTCCCTTTCCATTACTTATGCTTGATACAATCTTTTAATATACTTGACTGTTCTGCGTCGATTACAAATTTTCGACTCTCAATCGAAACGTGTTATTTTTCAATCTTCACTGATTGAAAATAACTTTAAGCCTTTTTCTGCAATTAGTTATTAATCCGATAATGATAACGAGACTTTATATGATATAAAGAAGAAGCATAATAATAATAATAATAATAATAATAATAATCAAACTTTAGGATTTATGAAATAGTAAATTTTTCTTCAATAATAAATTGGAAACGCAAAAATACAATTTTCTAGATTATTAGTCTTTCGAATGTATTAAAAAAAAAAAAAAATTTAAACTTTTAATGTAACTCAAAGTTTAAATATTGGAATACTCATACCTTCAAAGTCATTTATAAAGTCGAAGAATTTCGTTCCAAAAAAAATTTAAAAATAACAATTTGTTTAATCGAAGTTTTTATGAATTAATTTTTCAATACATATAAAGCACCAAACACACCGGTCAAGATAAAGTTAAAAGTTCATGTATGATACATTATGTCCCGTAGCTGGTAGTCGAAACAAAAATGCAACAAGAAATGTATTATTAGATATGCTTTAAAATATTGATTTCTAAACAAACGTTATAAGATTATTCGATTCTCAAAACAAGATTACAGGATTATGTTAACAAAAAAATTTGCTAAAATTGTGAAAAAACAAATAAGTTTGCTAAAAAGTAATTTTGTTAATAATGTTAATAGTACTTTTTGATAAATTTTCACTGGTAAAATAACATGTGTTTTTCTTAAATTAAGAACGACATGTGTATGTCAATTATAAATCAAATTAAATTAATAAGTTTTTTATTACAATTTCATTTTAGCTCAACAAATGTATGTCATAATATAATTTATTTTATTATATTATAGTATACTAATTAATTATAAATTGGAAAAAAATTTTTTTTTTGAAGAAAGATTAAGTCAAAAACTTTATTCGGATATTTTGGTATAATATAATTGCTCCATTTCTGTAAACCTTGAAACATATTATTTTTTTAAGCTACTTTTTTTTTTTTGATAAATATTTGCGAAATGAAACGAAGACATCGAGTTGTTCTTTAATTAAATAGGCTTCAATGTTATCTGGCAATCTATAAGAGAAAAAGTATTGACTTAGGTTTTTTAGCAAATCTCGATTTGTTTGATAATAATTTCAAAATATTTTCTGTTAACATTTAACCAATTCATCAAAAAATATAGTGACCTAAGCACAGTACATATAATATTCGATTCATCAGTTTCAATTATTGCATTAAATTCATCTTTCTCATCAACTAGTTTTAAAGCTTGTCAGGAAGTATTATTGCCATATTTAGCGGTGATATGATATAGGAGAATGAAATCAAAGTTTTGAGTTATCTTTATATTTTGATACAAAAATAGGGAGGATTTAAACATAAATAGAATCAAGCAGGTGTCAGAATCAGTGTTGGAAATCTATTTTGAGATTTATGTTCTCATGAGAAAATATTTATTTAATTTAGTGTTCTCAGAAATTTATTTACTGTATGTTCTCAACATCTCATCTGTAAAATTTATTTATATCATTATTATTCAAATTACTTATTTCGAAAAATATCGGACATTTTTCTAATTTTTGTCCCAACCCTTCTTTTATATTCATTCATTTTCTTTTCGGATAATTTCTCTTGATTCTAATTTTATTTCCACCTACGATTATTCTATTATTACACTTATGTTTTTCGAGGTATTATGCTCTCAAATTATTTTCATAGAGAACATTTACACAATATCAAATGTTCTCAAATCTAAAGGAATGTTCTCATGAGAACATAAGAAGATAAGATTTCCAACACTGATCAGAATAACAGTTTCTTTCTATTATGAAATACCCTTTTCCATTAGGTCCATTGCGCTGCATTCAAGTGATATATATACAAAATTTGCCTGCCGTAAAATTATTACATTAATTTCTAATGCTTGAAAATAGATAAAATCAAATTATAATCCTACTTATTTTCTTTGAAAAGAATAATATAAATTTCCTGTGTTTAACATCCCAATTTGTCAATAAGTGTTACAATATTTATGTAGTAATTGCATCTAAAAATATATAAAAGTACATTGGAAATGTAATACATAACTTTAATAAATTTGACGTTTCCCCTATTACACTTGCGTCAAAATGTCAAATTACAATAACCTACTTGTAATGCAGTCGGAAAAAGTCAACAGTTCACCAGACATTATTGAAATAGCAAACAATGTTACCAAATTGAATTTAGATGAAAACAATTTACAGAATTTTCCACAAGATTTTATAAATAAGATTGTTGAGGAAATGTGCAGTCTTTATAATGAAGAACGATCGAAAGGCAAAAATTCTCGTTCAATTCTTAATACATTAGAACAATTTCTAATAAAGAAGAACCAAAATCCAAATAATATTATCAATCTTTGCTTAAATGATGAAACCAATCCTATAATTCATTTCATAATTGCAAAGTGCTATCGTTATGGTGAATGGGTTGAAAAAGATAAACATAAGGCATTCATTTATTTTCAAAAATCTGCAGAGATGGGTGACGCTGATGGAATATTTGCACTTGGTAACTGTTATCAGGATGGAATTGGAGTTGAAAAGGATGAACATAAGGCATTCATTTATTATCAAAAATCTGCAGAGATAGGTGACGCTAGTGGAACATATAATGTTGGGTTTTGTTACAAAAATGGAATTGGAATTGAAAAGGATGATCATAAAGCTTTCATTTATTATGAAAAATCTGCTGAGTTAGGAGACGTTTGTGGAATGTCAAAAGTTGCAGAATGCTATAGAAATGGAATCGGAATAATAAGAGATTTATATAAAGGCAAATACTGGTATCAGAGGTATTTTTTAAATTTAATTTAATTTAATATGTGCGAGTGTATTGCAGCGCTCTACAATCAAGTATATTATATGTTCAGGTGTAATTAGAATAATAAAACAAAGTCAGGTGATTTTTTAAAAATTTAAAATTGATAGGTAATTATACTTGATTTTGGTATTTGATTGATAGGTCTATGTTCATGCCATGTTGCCAGGATACTAAATTCATATATTTATATCGCCGGTTAGGGAAAAAGATTTAACATCAAGTATTATCATAATTAAATTATAAACCATATGTTCATTAATTTATTTATAATATAAAGTTAACAAAATTTTATAAATAAAAATAGTTGCAATCGAATGGACGCATAATTCTGAAATTGAAGATAATTTGAAAAAAACATTAATGGAAAATAAATATCAGTTATCTTGGATTCCTTATGATGAATTTGAAGAAATTGAAGAGATAGGTAAAGGTGGATTTGCAACTGTATATTTTGCCATGTAGCATGATAAAAGTCAAAATTTAGATAGGAATGTAGCTCTTAATCTGCTCTATGAATCAAATAATTATCACGAGGAATTTATAAAAGAGGTAATCTTTATTAAATATTTTTATCAATTACTGCATCTTATTCGTAATTCATGTTAATGATTTTAATAAATAACCCTTTTTAATAATTAGTTAAAA